TTTGGGTAGATTGATAATTAGATCATTTCCCTTAACCTCTTCTTAATAGGCAAGTGGATATTTCTCCAGAAATTGTAACTGAACAATTACCATAAAAATAAAAACTTAATGTTTATAATATGTCAAAATAGAAAATCACTATGACGTGAACCAATGAATTATCATATCCATTGATCCATTAACATTTCGTGTCAAAAATTTATTTTTTTTTGTAATTTTAGAAATAAAAATAAATTTAAAGCAATTATTTTAATAAAACATTACAACCTGTAAACCGAATATAAAATAACCGATAAATTTACAAGGAGTAATCATGTAAACTTTTTATCTTTTGCAATTAATGGTTCAGCATGTAATTAAAATATCGAACATGTAATCAGTGATTATGCGTGTAATTTACCAATATTAATATTAGAGGTCAAGCAAATAATTTATATGAATCAAGTTTTATGTCTTTTGAATATGAACATGAATAATTACACACACGCACACGCACAATTGATGTATTTTTGTTACTAATACTGTGTTTTTACATCTTATTTAAACTTTCATAACATTAACTTTATTTGTATCCACATAAAACCAAAATGGATCCCAATATATTTCTTAAATTTTTTTTCCAATACTTTGAACCTTATTTCAAAGCATGCATATCAGGATATGTATCCATATAAGGGGCAATATCAATATTTTGAACCTTATTCCAGAGCTTAGAGGTGTAAATCGGGCTAGGCCGCTCGTGGCCCGGTACGAAGGCCCATGGGTTGTGCCAGGCCCAACACGAAGGTCTGTGTCATGCTAGGTTGGGGGTTTGAGGTCCATGGGCACAACACGAAAACTCGCAGCCCGCGGGTAGACCTATTCATGGGCCGGGTGGCCCGACGGGCCGACCCGGCCCTCGGACGGGCTTGAACACGCAAATGAGCCCACGGGGCAAAAAGCCCGGCTGCAATAAATTCAAACTAGGCTCGAGATTTTTCAAAATAGCCCAGCTTGAGCTCGGCCCGGCCCGACCTATAGACAATCAAAAACCCTAATATCTAAGTAACCGTTCTCATTCATCTCTTTCCACTTTTCCAGTTAGCCGAACTGCCTAGTGCCAAACCTCTCTTCTCTACACATCCTCCTCACACTCTCAAGCAGCCACAGAACCGGTGAACATTCATCGGCACAACAACTCCGGTAGACTGGTGGTGAGTCCTCTCTCTCTCTCTCTCAGACGCGAACTCAATCACCGGCGGTGAGTTCTTTCTTTTGTTAGGTTGGGCTTTTTATTAGGGCCGGGCTCGAGCTCGGGATCGGGCTCAGGCTCGGGCCTAACAAAATCATGTTTATGAAGAGTAAAAGCCCGGCCCAAGCCTGGCCCGACCTGGCTCATGAACAGGTCTACCCGCGTGTACCGGGCCGAGCGTGGCCCGCCCGGAATATAGCCGTTGCCCNAAGGGGCCCAATGGCTAGTTTTAGCTTTTTGGTGGGGTTTTATAGAAATACCCCAACAACTATAAATAGCCATATTAGAGGAGTATTTATGTATTTTGCTTATGGGGGGTTGAATAAATAACATAAATGCCTCCCAACAGCAATATAACAACTAGTTTAGGAGGGCTTTTTGGGTAAAGGTATAAATAACTTTACAATGACCAAAATACCCCTTCCAACAACTAAATAACAACTAGTTTTTTTGGTATTTTGGGCAATTGAATTATGTTCAATTCCTATAAATAGCCCTATCATCCACTATTCTCATCACACCAATTCAACAATTCTCTTAATCTCTTCTCTCTCTCTCTCTCTCTCATACTCATACATTCTCAATTCTCTACAATCTGAGTAATTACGATTAGTTAATTGTCTAATTTTACATTCTCCAATTCTCAAGTCTCAATTTTATCGAAGTTTCAACTTTCAACAAGAAGAAGGCTTGCTTAACCAGCTCAAGTATCTCAATTTGGGAGGCTTGGACATTGAAAGGCTTCAACTGTTGGAATCAAGTTGTGATTTTGAATCGATAATTCGGGTAAGTCAAATTAGATTAATTTTTATCTTTTTAGAATTAAAAAAATGGCCGGCTCTTTTGAAAACCGATTCCCCAATAGTACTGATGCGATTGATGATATTCAATCGCATCATGATAGTGTTAGCACTGATGTGATTGATGTCAATGGAAGTGGAACTTTCACCCTTGGTACTAATACTAGGGGAAAAAGGAGGGCCTCTAAGTTGAGTAGCCCTGTTTGGAAAATTTTCAAAGTAGAGGATATTGAGGAGAAGGGGAAAATGGCAATTTGCCAAAATTGTAGGAAGGACTTTATTTATTGTAGCAAGGGTGGTACAGGTCATTTGAGGAGACATCTGCTCACCCATAAGAAGGAAGAAGATGATGGGAGAGAAACAACTCAAACACAATTTGGGAGGGGGGTAGTTTTGGTACTTTTAAATATTCACAAGAATTAGCTAAGTATATTGTACATGTAAAACAACCATTTATATTAGCTGAAGATCCAAAGCTTGAAAAATGGTTGCGTAATTCTGTAAACCCACAATATAAAAAAGTTTCTAGGAATACTATTAGGTCGGATGCTTTAAAAATTTTTTATTCATATAAACAAAATTTAATTTCTTTGTTAGCAAATCTTAATTCTAAAGTTGCAATTACTTCAGATGTTTGGACATCCAAATTTAATGTAAGTTATATTTGCGTTACTGGTCATTTCATTGATGAAAATTGGCTTTTGAATAAAAGAATTTTAAGTTTTACTAGGCTTGAATGGCCACATACTGGCCCAACTATTGTTGCAAGTATTTTAAATACTTTGCATGCTTATGGAATAGAAAATAAGATCATGCTTAAATGGTAAATTAATTTTGATAATGCCAGCAATAATGATTCCGCAATAAATATTTTAAAATCTTAATTAAGACCATGCTTAAATGGTAAATTATTTCATATTAGATGTGCATGTCACATCTTAAATTTATGTATTCAAGATGCCTTGAATATTATTTCTACTCATATTTCTAGGATTAGAAATTATATTATATATATTAAAAGTTTAGGGGCAAGAAAACAAGAATTTAAATATTTATTCAAAATTATGGTTTAAAATATAAACATTTTATATTAGATGTAAAGCATAGGTGGAATTCTACCATGCTATGTTAGAAAGTTGTATTTCTCATAAACAAATTCTTTCTATTTTTATAATTCAAAAATGCCTAATGATATGATATTCGAGGAAGACTAAGAAATGACAGTCTGAATAAGAGATTTTTTAAAACATTTTTATGATGCAACTAATGAATGGTAATTAGTGATTGTTTTGCAAAATATAGAAATAATCCACAATTTCAATGTATTGTTGAGATAATGGAAAATAAATTTAAAAAATATTGGGAGAACATTTCTCCCCTTTATTGTTTAGGTACAATATTAGATCCTAGGATTAGGAACGATGGTTTAGATATTTTACTTGAATCATATTGTGAAAATATGAATATTGATATAGGAAATAAAAAAGAAGAAATTAATAATTTATTATTTGAAATGTACAGTTTATATGAATTTGAAAACTTGTACAACATCTTCTGCTTCTGACCTTGAGCCCAGTAGTAGGAGAGAAAAACTTTTTTATTTAATAAATAAAAGGCATAAATCTGCTACTTCCACAACAAATTCATTTACTGAACTTAATTTTTACTTACAAGCAAATTTTTCTAATTTAGGTGAATGATCAAATAATTTTGATATTTTAGACTGGTGGAGTGAATATTCAAAAATTTATCCAGTTCTCGCCGCCATGGCACATGATCTACTAACCCCTCTAGTGCCTATAATTTTATCAGAGTCTTGTTTTAGTGTAGGTACTAGAGTGTTGGATGACAAAAGAAGTTGCATGAACAATGAAAGCAAGAGATGTACATTTATTTCAAAGATTGGCTAGATGTAGAAGATATATTACAAGATAAAGGAGGGCATGATACTACACCGAATATTTCATTCGAAGCAGATGATGAAAGTCATGAATCATGATTTATGAATTTAACTTGTATAGAATTTTTTATTTTTTCAAATTATTGTAAACTTTTTAATTTTATTTAATTTATTTGATACTTTTTTAAAATTTTTAACAATGTAATTTTGTATTTTCAATTTGTAACTATATTGTATTTCTTATATTTTATTAATTTATTCCATTTTCATATTTCATTCATCCAAATATCCAATGATCCAATCATTGTATTTGTAATTTGTACCATTCAAATTTAAATGAAATAAAATTCCTATTTTTCTTCCAATTTATTATTCCATGTTCCATCATTCTTAATTTTTTATTTCAATTTGGTTAAGCATTTTTTTTTCCATTTATGTGTTAGATAACTTAGATTTCTCATTTGTTAATTTTTTAAATAGTTCCCAATTCCCAAAGTTCAAAGGAAAGTTAAATATTTTAGTTTTACAATTTTACTTAGAAAAAGAAATCAAAATTTTCTAAAAACACAAAAAAATAAAAAAAAAGTGTAACCCGATTTATCCCAAGCCCAAGGCCCGCCCTGTGGCCTAGCCCAACAAAGCCTGCAGCCTAGCATGGCCCAGGCCCGCAGCACAGCACAGCATGGCATGAGCCTGGGCCATGGGCCATGCCGGGCCAACCCCCAAAATTTCCACTAGGGAGGGCAGCACAGCCCGTGACGGCCCACGGACCAGAATGGCATGGCCCGCCTTTTGCACGGGCTGCCCACGGGCCATGCCATGACGGCCCGGCACAGCCCACTTTACACCTCTGCCAGAGCTACTAAAAATAACTATGGTATTTCCCATTCTCTACAATATGCTTCCTAAATTTGCCAATATAGAAGAGAAAAACAGAGACGTTCTAAATTTGCCAATATAGTATTGTGATCGAGTGGAATACACTGAATCTATTAAAGAAATTTGCAGGAGGCTAAATCTGGAAATTAAGAGAAAAATAAGCACACCATTTAACCATTACGAATTTACGATTATGCAGGCAAAGATGACTTTCCTCTACCGTTTTCATTTTAGCACAATTAGGTTAATGATATATTAATAATACAGCTCTAATCAAGTTCCGAAAAGCATGATGACAAGTTTGCCGAGCTTTTATAAGAATCACTGTTCTTTTTTTTTTTCTTTTCTGATCACTCACTGTTCTTGTACAAGATAAATTTAAGGAAGTTATACCAAAGTTAGCAAAAAATTAAGGGCGAAACATGAATTAATAACTTCATGTTGCCGTGGTTGAATTGTAAGCAATATCAGCAGATGAAGTGTCCATGTCATTTAGGCCTAGCTCCTCATTTTGCTCCCAGGATCTCTCATATTCTTCAACTGGACATGATATCCAACCACAGTAAGAAAACATTTAGTGGATTGTTAATTAACAGACTAGCAGATGGCAATATAATTGTAAGTTATTCCAAGAACCACAAAGATATCTAAAGACTGATGGCTCGAAACTCACAGCTAAGCTGATGGTCATCTTCAATGGCATCTGTAATAGGTGCAACAAAAGAATTTGCTAATGCATCATCAATAATTAAAGTCCAAGGTTGCTCCAAATTTAAAAGCTGTGTAACATAAATAACTTGCATTAGTGGAAACAATGGTTAATGGAAAGAACAAAAAATAAAATAAAAAAGAAAGTAAAGTTTTGAAAGGAAACTGTACAAAAAATATAGTACAGCTGAGTATGTGTGTCCTTGAGCACACAAAGATACACAAAAGAAAACCTTCAACACTGCAACAGTTCTTATGAGTTGGGTCACCTGTCTAATTATTGTGCCATTGTGTCTGGATTTCTAAATCATCTGTTACATGGCTGAGATACAAAATCCAGCCGGCAAAGAACCCTCATCCACTTATAAACCCTTCACCTATACCCAAATAAACATTACATGGAAAATTTCGTACCAGGGAACAGTCATCCTCTTGGTTTAAGATTGAAAGAAAGAAATCCTCTTGATCAACTTCCATGTAAAATAAGAAAATACAGAGTTCTAGAAACCGACTACTGATTGCCTACTTGCCAACTACAAGGTCTTAGACAAAAGGAAACTATCTTTCCGGAAAAAAAAAAAAAAGACAAAAGGAAACTAGGCTCTGCAAAGAACCGGGGCGCCTCTAATAAAACATGCTGGTTGGAAGATAACAAGGAAAAATAGAGAGAATAACAGAGAATATTTGTGGATTGGCTTTAAGGGTTACATCCAAGGGAGAGGAGCTTGAATCCAGCATTCAGAAAATTGCAGTTGGTTCTTAAATTATCCCATAACCACTGGATTGAATACACCTAAAACACACCCCAAAATTACATACAAGTCCTTTACACTATCATAATTATGCAATAGTCCCCAGGCCCAACAAGCTTACAGAAATACCCTTATGGTCCTGCAACACCCGCTTTGAAAGAAAACCCAGATGAGGAAACCCACTTGAGTTTGCAATGTTCTCAATGCTGAAGCAGAACACAATAATCAGCATGTTGGAGGAAAAAAATGGAAGAGGCCATGAAATCAGAATAAGCCAACAGAAAGCCAGTGTATACTGTATACACCAAAGTAGATAATAGAACCATGTCAAGAACGAAAGTAAACTAGGGAATCGCCAGCCAAGGTTGACCAACAGAAAGCTAAACTATACAAAACAACTAAGAGGAGCACCAACCAGATGCTCTGAATGGTCTCAAAAAAGAAAAACCCACCAAATGAGTGAGTGGGAGTGAGTGAGAGAGAGAGAGAGAGAGAGAGATTGTCTAAATTTGGGTGACCCAAAATCTCTAGAATTGATAAAAAATATATTAACCAAAGAGATCAATTATCTAAATTAATCTGAACAAATAACAGGGAGCTCACATGCACATGGAGGACTTACACACAAGAGTTGGACACCACCTTTAACCCAAAATCTTAAGCCATTAGTCCTCTGCATCTCTTATCTCCTTCCAATGTATGCTCATACACTCGTACATGCATCCCAACTATCTCCCCCTCATGAGAGAGTCTCTTTTCATCCACATCAAGCACTCCCCCCCTCAAAAGGATTCATCATCATATCATCAAGTTTGACACACACCAACCAAGAGCCCTTTGCTCACGACCATAAAAGCCCTTGTTCAACTGCACTGCTCAACAATGGAAGCATCCTGACCATGGGTGGAGCCATGCATGGGCGATCAACCTCTCTTGCCAACCACTCAAACCATGGGAAACAAGCAAAGCCATTGGAGCCACTGTGTGCATCCATCAAAACATGTGCCCAACCAAACCTTCAACTCTAATACCACTAGTTAGGGACCAGGGAGAGTCACACACACTAGAGAGCTTGTATGCACATGTAAAGCTTACATACAAGAGTTAGACACCACTTTTAACCCAAAAGCTTAAGTTATAGGTCAATCCTTGTCTATAAGTCCTTTGCATCTCTTATCTCTTTTCAATGTGAGATTCATACATTCACACATGCATCCCAACAAATAGATACCCATGGCACCCAAAAAACACCCATTATCTCTTTTCAATGTGGAATTCATACACTCACACATGCATCCCAACAAATAGATACCCATGGCACCCAAAAAACACCCATTATTTTCCTAAACACTATTTGCATTGTTTCACACTGAATACAAGAATCTTACCAGGTCCTAATCAACCAATCAGAGTGGTCCCATCTCAAGTTCAAAACACCAATCAAAAATAACCTAAAATGTTGACAGACTTCAACAAAATATCAAAAAACCACAAATATGTGTTGCATTGATATTCAACACACCTAAGCCTTACAGTTTAATGACTGATAATATTAACTTACAGCAGAGAAAAAGCAAAATCCAGAAAAATAGGAGAAAGTGTGGATAAACAAAAGCAGGCAGATTTATGTGGTTTAGCTAGGAGTTCTATATCCATGGGAGAATTGAGTCTACTATTCAGAGAAATAAAAAGACACAATAATGTACCCCTGTATAGACTCTCAAAACCATAATTACATAAGAACAACTATTCAGAATTATAGATAAGCCACTTACACTTAATAATTACACAATAGTCCACAGATAAATAAACCTTACAGAAATACCCTCATGTCCACAAATAGCAAGGACCATGTGATCTCTACATTACTCACAGTTCACATGTAATTAGTAATTTATTTTATAACATAGAGTTGTTTTCATAATATCCAGTCATCTACTCCAAAGCATTATATAACTTTTAATACATTGGCATATCTGTTAATGGCTTACAGTCAGAAGTTCGAAGTTGACTACCATATTTTTGAACTTTCTGAACAAGCAAGTAGCAGCTAAACCACTGCCAATGACATAATTTTCATATACAGGTAAACCAAAGTACATCTTATACATTACCTTGCTTAGTCTTTCCCTGAAATCTAGCCATTTGGTTTTTCTACAATCATCAAGACTATCTCCAAATGTGAACCCATGTACTCTCTCAAGATCTGCAAGGAAGTATATAAGATCATGCATTAATCTCCACAAAAATATCTCAAGTGTCATATATTTGTTAGCCATGTCCAAATACTTCCACCTACTCCCCAAGAGAAATGCCTAAAATCAACACAAAACAAAGAAGAAACAAAAGAAAAGAACAAGTAATTGCACTAAATACAATGCCTATAGATTAAAATGACAATCAAACACCCCGCTGTGTTGAAAAACCAGATAGTACTTATTTAGGATCTCACATGAATTACAGAAAACCAAATCAATTTATGACTCAACTGTGAAAATAGCATAGTTGTGAAGGCAACACCTAGGTGACTAGGAATCCCTGGCTGGGTACCTCACCTAAACACCTTGACTTGTACCAGTAAGGCACCCATCTAGGCAACTAGGTGTGCACCTAGGTTTTACAAATACGTGTTAATGCATTCTACTATATACTATATATCCTTTAGACTTTGTTTTAGTGAGAATATACCTCATGCTGAATTCGACTCATTAACATTGTAGTGGAGACTGTAGTGACAACTAAGTTTTGATTTGAAAAACACAAATTATCTTTTAATTTAAATGATAAATAAATGGCCAACAAGATAATGTACAAATTAGTACATCGTCTCAGATAGCAAACATTTTACCATTGTAAGGACTAGAATCAAAGTTTCAACCTCCATAAGTATATGTTAGTTTTCTAATATAAGGGGGGAAAGTGCCATTTGGAGGCTAAAGAAATTCAAACTTAGAGTAGAGGTATGAAAACAAAGTGAGGAGCAATCTATCAGGGCTACTACATGAATTTGTAATATTTTGTGTGAAATATATATAGGTTAAAAAAACCTCATTGCATTTGTTTCATAGATTATGAATTAACATGTTGCTGACTAACTAGGTTTTAGAAAGGAAATAAATTAATATTTCATCGATTTAGTTACAAGAAAATCAAAGAAATTATGTAACTAGAAGAAAACAACACAACGCTTCCATGGTTTGCTGTATGTAAATAATGAGAACACAGCTTCAATTGCACTTTTCATAGTATCAACTAATAGTGCCAATTGCTGAATTCATCAGAAAAGAACACCCCAAGGAAATATTTCTGCACCTTTTTCCTAGAACGTTCAGAATCACATATACAACAAGCAATGCAGACAAGTGGAAGATATGTAACAACCCTCCCTGGTCATATGTTCCACCCTAATCTATAAATCATTTACTGATTAAAATAAAAAATATATGTTTACAATCCATTGCAAGTCTTTATTGATTAAAAAATAAATAAATCTATTTTTCACTGATAGGGCAAATTTTAATTCTTTCCTTGCTCAATAAAACCATCTAGTTGCCTTTTTTCATCTACATAATAAAGCATGTTCCACTTTTCTTCCCTTATGCAATTCTCACAAATTGTACTCCAGTGCATCAGGTACAAAACATGCTATAACCTCTCACTGAGTATGCAACCCTTAGTAGAGTTAAATTGAAAAGGATCAATATGTCATTAATACCACCAAAAAAACTAATAATTAAAATACAAAATCCACAAGTTTTTTTCTTTTTTTTTTGTACAAGTGAAACCCACAGATATTCAGAAATAGAACAACTTAGATGCAAGTCTCTTCAAGAAAATCATTCAATCTGCATAAAGATATACATAATACTAGAGATAGAAATTGGTCAAACGATAACAAAGTGCTTTGTTCAGGAAACAAAGAATATATGAACAGAGGACTTACTTTCACTAATTTTAGTAATCAAACCTTCTACTGTTGTAACAATTCCTCCTAGTGTGCCACTAGCAAGCTCCAACTCAAGCTCTGGGACTCTCACACATGCAGAATCAGACTGGTAAATGCAAAAAAAAAAAAAAGGTCAAGAATAGGAAGTATATTGCAATAAGCTGGCTGCAATTGTGTTTCTGTTCTCAATATAAACCAATTGCATTATTATATTTTAATCATTAAACCAAATATTCTTCCCCAGGGGTAAAATTGCAAGTTGTCATTTCACAAACACCAGTGTCCAGATTTCAAAAACAACATTCACTAACATTTAGTAGTCAGAAAAAGCAGAAAATCACAATTTCATAGTGCTTTTGTCAGAAGTGTTTTTCTTTTCAAATGTCATATGTCAGTACAACTGAACAGCACCTTAGCAGATAGCAATAGGGATTCAAATGGATCGGATTTGAATCAGGGTATATCTGATTCCAATCTGATAGCACATATCCTAGATCCGATTGGATTTAATATATGGCGATTCAAATTCGAATCCCCTAAGGATGTTGAATATCCGAATCCGATCTGATCTGATTCAAATTCTGAAATTTTTAATAAATTATTAAAATAAAATAAACATAACAATTTATATAAAGAAAAACAAAAAACATAAGTATTTTTTTAACTATTTTCATTATATATTAATATGTACATAATTCGATTCAATTTTCAATCAGATCCCATTATCCAATCCGATTCAATCCAAAATCGACAAAAATAAGGTTGGATTCAGATTCGATCATGATCTGATCCATTTGCACCCATAGATAACAATAGTAATTAGTTATAATTAAAAATAAGAAAAGTTTAACTATAAGAGAATAGAACATAGACTAAAATCTACTAAACAATAAAAAATAATAAAATAAATAACCGTAATCTTATATAATAGAACTTGGATTGGAGAAGAAAACACTACAAATAATTTAGAATTAGAATGAACGAGAGGGAGAAAGCTAGAAGATCCAAATAAATAAGGTTCTTTTCTTCTGGGTTTTTATTTGATTTTGTTTTGTGGTTGGTGGTGGGGAGATGAAATCAACACATAATTGGAATTATCTCTGCACCCACCGGAAAAGAGAAAAACTAGGACCCTCAAATTTCTGTCCACCCTTCAATCTATGGGTTCCTTGGTTTACCTGTGAGAAAGAAATTGACTGTTCCTTTCTAAAGCAAAAAAGAAATGCCTAGAGAAAGCTGAGGAAATCAGCATATACAAACCTTTATAACATCCCGACTTAGATCACATGTTTTCTCCACATGGACTGTTATTCTTTTTCCTTTTTCAGAAATTTGACCACCAGGTTTTAACTGTCCAGTACATAATGATCATAATAATGAGAGACAAGAAAGTAAAAAGGAACAAAGAAAAGAACCAAAACTCTAAGAATATAACAACCACAAACCTCAGAATTGCGGTAACCACAAGCATCACAAGATGATGCCATGACAATTACTTCTTGGAAGTATGGAATATCTGTATGTGGTTAAAGCTCAGCATTCCATGTGAAACAATAACTAAAGAAAAATTGCCAGACATTGGTTCAAGTGAAAACTAATTTTATCAAAATTATAAGCTATGAGGTGATCCATGCAGATCTGCATAGTAATATGCATCATGCTTAGATTATACAACTTGGAATCCATACTTGTGCAGCTACAATGTATTTTATGTTCTTCTTAGAAGTTTTGACCATATATGATGATTACTCTTTATCCCTGTGACTTGTAGGAAACATTTTTTATCTGAGGGTTGTGATTGAAGGATCAGACCAATGAGATGGGTGGAAAATCTGGGTTTGTGAGGGAGATTAAGTGGTGAAGAGCCATGGTCTCTTAGTGTTGCAGTCTAAAAGTCCAACAGTTGGCTTATTTCTGAGGGTACAAAGGTTGAAGACAAGAGCAGTTTAGGGATTTGGGAAATGTTTCCCATAAGGACGGTGATTGGGGTCTCGATAAGTGTGGTGGCAGTTGGGATATGAAGGAAAAAGGGAGCCATCAAAGTGATGCTTCGGTTCTTTCCTCTGGTAACCATAGTGGAAAGCATTGGGGTTGGTGTGCAATTGGGTCGGGTGGGACTTGTGAAGGGTCAGAAGTTTAAAGAGGTGGGACCAGAAGAGGTTTAGAGAAAAGGTGGAACAAGGAAGAAGAAAAGCCATTTTGGTCAAAGGTGGATCATGGTTTGAGTAGATTTAGACAATTGAGGTTTCGTTGTATTAGGAAGGGAGACTGGAACCAGTTGTATAAGTTACCGATATATTAAATAAGATTTAGTTTTAAAAGGGAACTTTGATAAATAAACGAACGAAGCAGAGTTGGATCAAGAAGAGTTCAAAATCCAGCAAAGAGAGCAAGAAAGAAGCTTTCTGAAGACAATGGGAAGAAGCTCGTCGATTCTAGCAATGATCATCTTAATTATGAGGTTGGTATGGTTTCAGGGTCATGTGATCTTTGCTGTAGTGGATCTCATGTGCGGAGCGACGATTTTGTCACTCAGGACAACGTCCTCAGCCCATCTCAAGAATTCAACATTTCTTTGGTAGAGTTGGGTGTGAGAGCTTCAAAAGAGGGTGCAGAAGGAATGTAATTGTGGGTGAGGGGAGATTTGGGGGACAGCGAGAAGCATCGAAACAACATTCTGATGACCAAAGATTTTGTTAAGCCAAAGAGGGTGACTTGGTCGGAGGCATTGCTAACAGGTTTACCCTTATAGATGTGCCTTCATCCAATCTTCCTGTTAGTTTTAAGATGGTGGTAGTTGGTATGCTGGGTGTTGACTTGGGTAATAGGAGGAAGAATCAGGATAAATGTGAAGTTATCAAAATTGGTTTGGGACTTTGGGTCCGAGGAAGTTTCAAGCTTCTAGCAAGATGCATATTGTCCATGCAACTAAAGTTTTCTTGAGGCTGAAGCTTGGTTGAGTTGGAGCTGGTCCCACAAAAAATTTCAAAAAGGTTTACAAGAGAAAGAGTGTGAAGTTGAAGTTGTCGAAGGTAGTTGGTCCTGGTGGGAGAGAACAATCTCGTCTTTCGAATTCGAATACGTATCTGGTTATTGCTCAACAAGAACTTATGAATCATGAGGAAAGGAAAGAAGTGGATTTGAAGACAGTTGGTATGCCCACAGAAGAAAAATTGGAAAAGAAAGGTGGTTTAGATGTTGAGAAAAATTGTTGAGAGGAATGTTAAATTGGAAAAAAAACTTGGTCTTTTCTCCTTAGGAGGTGAGGCTTTTGTTAAGGAAAGCCTGTGAAGATTTCAAGAGAAGAAGAGAGGATAGTTTGAAGATTGACACTGTGGGGGAAGGAGGAGAGGATTGGAATGAAGCAGACGGTGGGAGGGTTGATATGCTCGAGAAGGAGGATTAGTGGAGGCTAGTGTTTGTCTTTCTATTGGTTTTGGTGTGCCTTATGTTGTAGGATCAAGGTTGTAGGGGTGTTGGGTGTTAGATTCAAGGGAAGTCATTTTTTAGGTTTGTGTCTTGAGATTTTATTGTTAGGATGGTCTCCTTTATCTAGTTGGTTACCACTGGTCACCTCTCTCATGTATGCTTTTTTGCTTTTCTTCTGTAATAAATTCTCTTTTATTATCAAAAAAAAAGATTGGCTAGTGATCCTACTTATCAAAAAATTAAAAAAAAAAGGTCAGTTAGTGATCCACATATTTTCAAACTTGGTAAGTGTTGGGATGCACCTGTGAGTGTACGAGTCCTTGGATAGAAATAAGAGAAGCAAAGGACTTATACATGAGGATTGGCCCACAACCTAATAGCTTAAGCATTTTGGTTAAAGGTGGTGTCCAACTCTTGTGTGGAAAGACCTCCATGCAATGCAGTACATACGAAGCAATAGTATTCAATCAGAATCAATCAACATGAGAAACCTGTCCAATTGTATACAAAGAATGGTCCTGCATCTTGGACCATGTAAACCTTGCATTAACAAGAGATAAATCTTTAAGGGAGCAATCATTGATCCAATGATTTAAAGATCTCATACTTCTTGAGATTCAAGAGCTTCTGCCCTTTCATCATTGCAACAGCTATTCTACTTTTATAATGCATCAGCTGGCCTTGACCAAAAAATAGGCTGCCTTCAAGAGAAGTGTTTTGGGTGATTGAAGGTTTTCTTTTACTTTCATGTATATATGTATATATACATATATGTATGTATACATATATATACATATACATATATATATGTATGTATACATACATATATGTATATATACATATATATATATATACGTATTAAGTATATATATATATTTATATACATATGTATATGTGTATACATGTATATACTTGTATAAATATACATTTTATCAATAAATAATGTATAAATATGTTAGATGTATTTTTATATTTAATTTATATTTTTTAACTCATTTTTTTAATTTTTTATATATAAAAATATTAAAAATTGCAATTTGAGGCCAAAAGGGGGCTTTTTGCGAAAATAGTGGAGCAAGGTGCCTTGGAGCGCATAGATCTCGAAAAGTTACCCAAAATAAAAAAAAGCACCCCAATCGGACATCAGAGTGCAAAGTTATGGCCTCCGAAAGTTTGCATACATTGAGTGTGCAACCCGCGACCCGGTGACCAGGTCGAACGGGTCAACAGTTGAACCGGCCAGGTCAAACGGTTCTTGACCAAATCAACAGTTTTTTACCGTCTGACAGGTCTTGACTGAATCGGACCCAAAATCTTGGTCAGGTGACGGTTCAAACGGTTCAACTGGCCGGGTCAACAATGGGTTGAAAACAATGGTTTAACTTTCTGATTTCATAAGTATATTAGCAAGAGAGAGAGAGAGAGAGTAAGAGGAGTCCTAAATAGGGCTATACTTGTTCTGCAATGCAAGTATGTACCATATTGAGATTATGATAATGATTTATTCCAGTCCTAGTAAATGTAAGAAATCATTTTTGTAAATACAAACAAGAGACTGAAACCCCTAAAACAAACAAGAGACTGAAACCCACAACCTCCAAAACCTGCCAGAAAACACATGAAAAAATCATCCTGAAACCAAAACAATCCAACTGATGAAATGCTCAACTTAAACTTTATCCATTTCCTCATCATGTCCACTGTCTAATATAGAAATCTCGTCTCATCTGGGTAACTTTCTTTATCTTTCTCCCTTTATTTTTTAATCCCGCTCCATATATTCCCAGCTTCAGTCTGGCAAAAACATATGAAACTTGTCTATTTTGATTGGTTTTCTGTCTTCTAAATCTTCTTACTGCATTAGGGCATTTCTCCCCCCTAGTAGATCCCTCCCTTTGAGCATTAATTCTTTCTAACTCAAATATGGCACTCTTCTCTAACAATCGATCAGCACTCAGGTCTTCTCTACCCTTCCCCTCCTCTACATCTCCAACTATCTTTAAACTTCCAAACACCTTAGTTGTCCCTGAACCAGAATCAGCCGCCCCCTTAATCTTCTCTTTCGTCTGGACTCTAGTATTTTCCACCTCCCTAAAAGCTTCCTTTGCAAAATCCTCTCCCCCCAAGAAGAATAAACCCAACAATTTACTGACCCTCACCCTTGTGTTCAGCACCCTTTCCATATCCGCAGATTTCTCAACTTCGTGAGCCTCATCTATGGCTACTTCTTCCTCCTCTGTACCTGTTGCTCCATCCTCTTCACCTGATCCTGCATCCTCTTGCAAAGGCCTGGTTCTGTATTTGTGTTTCTTGTCTTACTAAACAGGACAGGATCTCCTTTTCTCCATTTATTTATTTTATTAACCATTGGATAAAGAAACTAATTTCACTAAAAAACCACTCCCCATGGATAACTTTAAATTTCAATCTGTACACGACTAGTGTACATCCTAGTCTATACGTGTAAGGTTTCTTATAATACAAGGCTTATATGTATAAATGCCTATGGTAGAGTTATAAAGAATTACCTTACTTTTTTCTCAAAAAAAAAAATCAAATATCAATCTAGATGTCTATCTTCTAAAACTGAGAAAAATGGAGATAAACCATGTCAAGTGACTGGAAAAAAGAAATTAAAAGAAAGATAAAGGAAGGTTAGAAGAATTTAAGGATACGGGTTACAAACATCCGAGTTTCACATCTGGTGCCACAAGCTCCACAAGTTGATGGGAAAGTCATCACCTGACCAGGAAGGTAAAGAGATGATCAATAGAGCTAGAGCATAGGGTATGTGAGAAAATACAAGTAGCATTTAATATCCTTCTATTAGGTGTACCTCTTCTGGTGCAGAATACCTAAACAAGGCTGCAGCAACTTCCTCACTATTGCCCTGAGCAATAGCTCTATGACCACCAAGAGCTCCAATTGACCCATGCGGCTCTCTCTTTACATTGGAAGCACATATCCTGTCTTCCAATGCCTCACTTTCACGCTGAGGTCCAAGTTCACTTGAAGGTGATGAATCCACAAGGAATCCTAGAGATGCCTGTTGCTCAGGAGTCCGCTCATAAAACTTAATTGTTAGTGATGGATCTGTAGCTGGCGCAAGCCTATACATGACAATGGAATATATTCAAAATCAGACAAAAAGGAATCCAGCCAGTGCATGTCAACAACATCATAATATATCCAACATAAAAGAAGTTAAATGGCACAAACATTACGAGTGAAAACATATAATAATTTGATCTACCCCCCTTTTTTGAGAAAAGGTATAAAAATTTTATTAATTCTCAAAAAAAAATTCCTGTACAACAAGAGGCTGCTATATAATGGAAGCTTACAAAACACTACCCTTGCAATATTGGAATGGAACCTTTGGTCTGCCCACCCTTGTGGAACCTTTTCCTGGGTCCTTACAAGGCCTGTCCATATCCAACTCCTTGGTGCCTTCATTTCCATCTAAAGAGATATGGAGTAATCCCGTGCCTCTTAAGGGCTTTCTGTTAGAAAGTGTATCAAGAGAAAATCAACACATGCAATAAACTTCAAAAGAAGAGACCTGGTTGGTGTCTTTTTCAAAATGTTTGCATTTTGTTTTGGCTAGTCGAGAGTCTTCTTTTCATCTAATAACCTCCTGTTCATTTGTTTCTTGTATTTGTGAGTGTTTTTGAAACCTTTTTATGCAAGTGGACCCCCCAACTGATGTAGTAGAGTAGTTTAGTCCATTGACATTTCCCAACTGATGAGAGGCACAAGAGCAACTGTTATTTGGACAAATTGGGAGGAGAAGAATGCAAGGATCTTTAATGGGGAATCGTAAGGAAGGTTTATTTGATTGCATCAAAATTAAAGTGGTGCACTTGATGAAAATTTTGGATATCTTTGGCCTGTTCTCTATGAATAATATCTCTAGAGGCTGCAGAGTAGTAGCCAATTCATCACCCAAAGGGACAGTGCTTCAAAGACAATGGGACCCACTTCACAGGGAACTCGTAAAACTGAACTTTGATGGATGCAGCATTGGCAATACAGGCCATCAAGGGTGGGAGGGGTCTTTAGAGATGCAAATAGCACTGCGATAGCACTGTTTTCAAGACCTATTGGGTGTGGGAACTGAATAAGAGCTGAAGTATTAGCTGTAGTGCAAGGACAGAGGACAACAAGGCAACTGAATCTGAAAGATATTGTAGTGGAACTGTGGAAGGAGACTATTTATCAAAAAAAAAAAAAAAACCTGTGGAAGGAGACTAAATTTGTGATCAATTGGCTTAGGAACAACAGAAAGGCAATGTGGCAGCATAGACAAGTAATCAAGGAGAAATTTTGGCTGGCCAGGGAAGTACTTATAACCTTTCAATGGGTGCACAGACCAGCTATTTCAATGGCTGATGCTTTCACTAAACAAGGGGAATATGGGGAACAAATGATTTGGACACAGCTGTAATGCTACTACTATAGCAATGGAATAGCTGGCTAGTCTGGCCTATTTTGGAATTCTAAGCCCTGTACATGATTTATTCTTTTTTAATTATTAGAAAAGTTACATTACCTATAAAAACATACAAATGCAACAAACAAATAAACACATGGCCTAGAACAGGGCAAATTGGTATCGTCATTTTGGAGAAACCCCATCAAGAAACCATTTCAAATATCTAAGTGGAAAAGAGAGGGAAAAAAGTAATTTAGACAAACATAATAATCCCCTAATCTATCTAACATAGACAATCATAATAATACTCAACGTTAACCATTTAGCTAACCAAAATTCACTAAAATTATAATGGAAATATGTAAAATTCACATTAAACTAATAAAACAGATCTTACGGATTCTCAATGAAACTGTTGCCAGATGGATCATCCAGAATGAAGGTGAATGATGCATCCCCAATTGCACATGATTTCAATTTTGTCAAGAACTGGTCTAAAGCTTCAGCTGTCCCAGGATCCACTTTCTGAAAAAACCCAGAACAATGGTGTAAATAAACTGAGAATTAAAAAAAAAAAAATACAACTTCTAAGAAAGTACTTGAAATTTCAGCACCTTGCGTTCTTCTTGAAGTGCCTGCAATTCATCTATAGCTCGCAATAATACCCCTTCCACCTAAAAATATTCTAGGCAGGTAAGACAGTGCCTAAGGGAAAAATCTTTAACAGACCACTAGAAAGGGAAAATCTATTGAACCAGAATGATGTGGCATAATCATACACCAAGTGAAATGGTATAAACGGTTAGTATAAAAAGATGGCTTATGAAATTGTGTTTCTAAAAAATGCATAACCAGATAAGAAGCGAAGATGATACAATTTCAGCTATGAACATTAATGCAGTTTCACCATAACATAATAGATTCTATGGGCTATTGATGGAACATATCTCCTTAAGTATCGAATATTTCTGTTTACAGTTTACTGTATCTGGAGTGTCATTAGTGAACAAAAAAATAAATCAGGAAGTAAGGTCTAAGGTGCAATGCAAAGACAAATGGCATATGCTAAATAATCTTTATGTACTTTATAGTAATGGCATGGCAGAATGTTTAAGCATCATATATTTTTAGTAAATATATGGCCAGTAAACAGACAAATGGAAGAGGCAGAGGACTGGTACAACAGAAGGCCAAGAAACATAGAGACACTTGCTATCTATCCCTGTTTCAGGTACTTGTTTCTTCATTGTGCTCTCCATATTCCTCATGCTTGTGGTTACCAAATTCCTTTCTATAATTAAGTCTTGTGGACTTGACATGCTCTCCCAATGAGATGACTTCCATCCTTTTGGCATGCAAATATTTTGTTTCCTATTTCTCACAAACACCATCAAAGATATGAATCTCCCCTTTCATTCTTGTTTCTTTTCATATAGTGTGTTCCATTCCCTTTCAAAGAATTTTACCATTGTGAGTGTTGCTTCACCTACAAAGCCCTTAAGCCATATTACTGCTTCCTCCACAAGGAAGATCATTGCTCTTCCTGTTTCCCTGACTTTGAGGATACGGCCATCCAGACCAGATACTTCTTCCATGAAGAAGTATATCATTTCCAAGTTCCACCTGAAAGACTTTCTTCCATTTTCTTTCCTGAGAGATTTCCCCTTCTCTGCCCCTTTCTTCGTTTCCCTTTTTTCTTTCCATATATCCTAGCCTTCTCCCTCAAGATAGAGTAAACATGTCAATCATACCCTGGATTTCCGCTTATCATAAACATGATATTTCATGATATTTTCTAAATTGGAGTCTTAAGAGGGATGACAAATCCTGGCTCTAAGACATGTGAGGCCCTTTTATACATAGATTGAATGAATTGAATAGAAAGTGTTGAGCTCATCATAGTTACCTTTGGTTATATGTGCTTTTCCTCTATCCTTTCCATGAGTCCAACTATACACTCCTTTCTTTCTTCTTATCTCTATTTTGTTATCTGAAATTCTGAATCACTTCCTCTCATAATTCATATCCTTAGATCCCTTATTCTTCACCTACCTTATGCTGAAACATAGTGCATCCTTCCTGTACCTTGTAAATTTTGTGGCACTGTCCCAGTGTCCCTTATATATATGCTCAGGCTGCCCCAGGTGCTTATTCTTCTATTCTTGGGGCTTTACATATCCTAATGTATACTTTATATAGTTTCTCATTAATGATCAAAAAAAGAAAATGGCACTTCATGATAATCTTTGTTAGCAATGGAATATATCAACACTTTTTAAGCAAAGGGTGTTAATTCGAAGTTCAACATTTTCTTCAACAAGTAAATATTTCTATAGAAATAAAAGCGGGCAGTATTTGTAACATATGAAGCAAACACACGAGATGCAAAATGATATGAACCAAAGACAGCTAAAGAATGTTATTGAATAATTAGACTCTATTGGAATAGAAACCAGGATGAAAAGGGAATACCGTAGATAGTGTGCCACGTTGAGCTTCTGGAGGAATCTCAAAATCCAGTTCCGGAATCTTTTTTGTGGGGGGAAGACAAAAGTGTTAGTAAATTTCTTAAATACAATCATGTACAATAACATAAAGTAAGAATAATACTAAGTCACCTGGTTAAGTTGAAAGAAAAAATCAACCACAAGAACAGAGTAAAAAGTATTAACAATTATCAACCCTGATAAAGTGAAGCTTTTAAATTTTCACAAGAAAAGAAACATGGAAAGGGTAAAGCACTTAATTGATAACTAGATATATTTCCAAACTTGATTCAACTAGATCAACAAACAGTCCATTAGAAGTAGAAATTGTTTCTTTGGAAGAACTAGTTCGGTTTTGAATTATGCAATGTTTATGGCTGTCAACTTTTTTAGAACTTTTTTTTTATCAATAACTGTGAAATTTCATTAGATTAGAAAAATAATATAGTACAGTGAGTAAAACCAAAGAGAAGATATGAAAGATAAAACAACTTATCTCTCCCCTTAGATACACCCTTCCCTTACAATTGTGCCCAGAACAGAACTTGTCGTCTCACCCCTTGTTTTGCTAGAGAATCAGCAAAGGAGTTGGCACTACACTTGAACCAGTTGACAGAAACTTCCATATCCCTTGTTAGCCATCTGAATTTTTTCTTTTCATTATTGTAAACCCATATCTTCATCTTAGCACTGTGCAGCCAATTTGCAACCAGTTGGGATCCCCTTCCACTACTAATTTCCTAATATTCAAGGATCTTGCCCTTTGAACTCCTTCCATCATTGCCAAAACCTCTGCTCTGAGAGAATCTCCCTCTCCCACCGGGCTTGAAAATAGAGCTATTATTCTCCCCTTAGCATCCGTAAATACACCTCCAATTCCTGATGGTCCTGGGTTTCCCATGCTACTACCATCAAAGTTAAGTTTGATGGAACCTGTTTCTGGTGGAAACCAAAAGTGTACAGTGGCAGGTGTACAAGGAGCAGATTTTGCTACTTCCTTCCAATTTCTCAGAACACCATCCGTAGCTACACTAGAAAAGGACTCGAGATCTGAGCCAATGAGCCACCCTGACCATTATTGTTTCAATCAGGTCTTCCTTATTCCTTTCCTTGTCCAGAAATAATCTTGAATTCCTTTCTTCCCAAACTGTCCATAGTATTGCCGCTCTAGTACATATCCACATCTGTCTTCCCCTCTTGTATGGCCATGGAAAGAATGAAGGGTCAAACAATCGTTGCACATCAACTGGAGGATTCCACCTACACCCAAACAAGGAGAAAAACCATTCCCAAATGTAGGCAGTAAAGGAACAAAAAATAAGTAGATGGTAGCAGTTCCCACCATTAGCTTTGCATAAGACACACCAATGAGGGGATAAGCTCCAGCTTTTGCGCTATCTTTGAAGCAAACCACAAGTGTTAATCTTTCCATGGACAGCTTCCCAAGAGAGTTCCAATCCTAGGGAGAATTGGCTTTCACCAAAGCTCTTTAGCTGGAAACGAAGGCAAAGAACTAGTGGAAGGATGGGATAGAGCTCTATAGAAGGAAGCACAAGAGAAGAAACCAGAAGGAGTGCAAGTCCAAATTCGGCTATCCGGTTTAGAAGATTCAAAAAAGACTTCCTCTAGTAATTGGAGTAAGTTCGTCACATTTTGAAGCTCAAAATCTCTAATACCCCCTCCTAAACCCTAAATCCCAACTTACTCCATTGGTAGAGATCAAGGGAACAAGGAACTTGGAAATAGGCTCATTTTTCGAACAAGAGAGGGGAATTGTTCTTTCAAAAATGATAACATTGGTATTGACAGGTTGAAGACTTATCTGCAGGATCATTTTCAAACAAAAAATCTTGGTAAGCTGAAATATTTCTTGGGGATAGAGATAGCAAGATCCAAGTATGGTATTAACCTGTGCCAGAGGAAATATGTGCTTGATTTGCTGGAAGAAACAGGCTTGTTGGGTGCTAAACCAACTGAAACACCCATGGACACAAATACCAGGCTAAGCAGTGATATGGGTGAAGTGTTTGAAGACCTTGGTAGATACCGACGACTTGTGAGTAAATTGAACTACCTAACCATTACTATACCAAACATCTCATTTGCGGTTAGTGTGATAAGCCAATTCATGCAAAAACCCCTGATTCCACATTGGAATGCAGTTCTGAGAATTGTGAGATATTTAAAAGGGGCTCTGGGTCGCGGTCTGATATACAAGAGTGGCGGAAAACTTGAAATAAAAGGGTATTCTGATGCTGACAAGGCTGGTTCTATGTCTGATCGGCGGTCTACTACAGGCTATTGCACGTTTCTGGGAGGTAACCTGGTGACATGGAAAAGTAAGAAGCAGACGGTTGTGGCAAGAAGYAGTGCAGAAGCAGAATATAGGGCTATGGCGCACACCGCTTGTGAATTAGTGTGGCTAAGAAACCTTCTACAGGAAGTAGGGTACAACATCAACACTCCAATGAAGCTCTATTGTGATAATCAGGCTGCAGTTCATATTTCCTCTAATCTGGTGTTTCATGAAAGAACCAAGCACATTGAAGTTGATTACCACTTTGTGAGGGAGAAAGTGTTGAATGGAGAGCTAGACACTACACATGTTAATACCGGAAACCAGTGGGCTGACTTATTTACAAAAGGCTTGAGTCGGGGAAGAGTGGACTACATATGTAACAAGCTGGGAGTAAAAGATATATACTCACCAGCTTGAGGGGGAGTGTTAGCGTAGGGGTATTTCTATCTTTACACCTTGATTAATGTTGTTGATCTGTAATGTTGTGTTGGAATCAGTGCTTCTCACTTAAATAAGGACACATATGTCTTTTCAATTATTTTTAATAATATAAGTATTGTCTGGCCGACTAGGAGAAGGTTATGTTGACACTTCCAGTTCAAACCAGATTTTCTCCCTTCTCTCTTTCTCTCTTTCTCTCTTTCTTCCACCTTTCTACTTCTTTCTACATAACCGATCTCAGACAGATAGAATTCCAAGGCAAGCCGAATCATCACATGTTCCATCACCCTTTACCCCTCTTTGTGTGTTTTAGGTTCTCAAGACAGGGATGAAGATTGGTGGATCATGAAGTTGGTGGATTGTATTATCTTGATGTTGGTGGTGGATTGTATTATCTTGATGTTGGTGGTCCAAAAGTAGCACTTCAGTCTTCTCTCGCTCATCTCCAATTGCACTCTAGGCTTGGCCATCCGTCTCTCAAAGCTCTTAAGTTACTTGTTCTGTCATTGAGTCATCTTTCTTCTTGGGATTGTGAATCATGTCAATTTGAAAAAATATCATGGAGTATCCTTTAGTCCTAGGGTTGATAGTCGGGTTCTAAGTCCCTTTTCTTTAGTTCATTCAAATGCTTGGGGTCCAAATAAAATTGTCGTAGAATGATTACAATTATTTTGTAGTTTATGTTGATGACTATTCAAGGATGGCATGGCTTTATCTTATGAAAGAAAGAAGTGAATTGTTATCTATTTTCCAAAAATTCCATGCTGAGATTCATACTCAATTTGGTGTTCATATTAAAATTCCCCATTCTGTCAATGCGAAAGAATATTATTCAACACCATTTCAGCAATATTTAGAGCAACATGGTGTAATTCATCAAACTTCTTGTACTTACACACCGCAACAGAATGGCATGACTGAATGGAAGAACCAACATTTACTTGAAACTACTCGGTCCACTTGCACAATATGAATGTTCCCAAGCGCTTTTGGAGTGATGTTGTACTTACATCATGTTTCCTCATTTAATCAGATGCCAATGTTTATCCTTGGAAGTTAGTCACCTTTCTCACTCTTGTTTCCTACTTTATCTCCTTTTCCCCTTACTACTAGAGTTTTCGGTTGTGTATCCCTTACTACTAGAGTTGTCGGTTGTGTATGTTTTGTTCATAATTTAGGCTTGGACTGAACAATTTAGATGCATGTGCTACAAAATACATCTTTCTTGGCTATTCCAGAACCCAAAAAGGGTACAAGTGTTACAACCCCAGCTCTCATCGTTCCTTTGTGTGTCCAAATGTCACTTTCTTTGAAAGTGTTTCCTTCTTTACTAGTTTTGATGTTCCTCCCTCTCCTTCAATGTTCCCTCTTCCTGTTCCAGTTGAGGACCCCATTCCTACAATTCTCGTTTTGTCCAAGCCTTCATCTTCTCTAGTGTAGGTTTCTACTGAAAGCTAACCAATCACACAAGTGTATACTCACAGATGGGCACCGGCTCCTCCCCCAATCCATTCCTCGTCGACAGATCCAACAATTGTGTCTTCCCATTGCATTGCAGAAAGGTAAACATAGTTGTACTTTCATCCTATTTCCAATTATATTTTTGTTGCTCACCTTTCTGCTTCCCATCAACAATTTATCTCTTTTATCTTCTATTTCCATCCCTAAAAATGTCCACGAATCTATTACCTCCCAGGGTGGCATCAAGCAATAGAAGAGGAAATGTCTGCACTAGCACACAATCACACGTAGGAGATTACCACTCTTCCTTCTGGTAAGCATGTTGTTGGATGTAAGTGGGCATATACTATGAAATATCTACCAAATGGCAGTGTGGAAAGGTTGAAGGCTCAGTTAGTGGCAAAAGGTTACTCTCAGTTGTATGGAGTTGACTACACAAAAACTTTTTCTCCAATGTCAAATTAAGTACTGATGTGGGTGAAGAGTTAGAAGATCCTAGGAGGTACAAAAGGTTGGTGGTTAAGTTGAACCACCTGACTATTACTCAACCAGACATATCATTTGCATTGAGTGTGGTGAGTCAGTTTATACAGCATCCTTGGGTTCCACACTAGGATGTAGTTCTAAGGATTGTTAGATATTTGGAGGGAGATCCAGGTTGTAGATTGTTATACAAGAATGGAGGAACTCTTGAGATAGAGAGGTATAAAGATGACAATTGGGTTGGCTTGGTTTTTGACAGGGGATCTGCTACAGGGTATTGTACCTTCCTTGGGGAAAATCTGGTGACTTGAAAGAGCAAGAAACAAACTATAGTAGCGGGAAGCAATGTTGAAGTTGAATACATAGCCATGGCACATACTACATGTGAACTGTGGCTGAAAAATCTTTTGCAGGAGATGGGATTCTCAATTGACAGGCCTATGAAGTTACATAGCAACAATCAAGTCGTAGTCCACATTTCCTCTAACCCAATTTTCCAAAAGATAACAAAGCATTTGAAATAGACAACTCAACTCTAGAAGTTCAATTAGCACTTGTCATGTAATTAGAGTTGAGTTGCCTATTTAGTCTTTGTTTAAGTTGCGTGTCCCATACTTAATGAGGGACATAATTGTCTTTGTATTTCAAATGCATAAACTATAAATAAGAGGTGAGTCAACTGAGAGAGTGAGTTCTTTTCTCTCTAGTCGAACTCTATTTTTCTCTTCTCTTCTCTCTTCTTCTTCTACACATATATATAAAATAATAACTTTTTATTGGACTCAAATTTTAATCAAACCAAATGGGGTTAAATCTGCATCCGATCCAATTATTAATTAGATGCAAGTTTTAACATCCAAATCCGAGATAACTTAGATTCACAGTCAAATCTGATATTGGACTTTTGGAGTCCGTTAACAGCCTTATTCAATATTAATATAAACAATCAAGTGATATATGATATTTTTCACAAATCAAAACAGTTTCTACTTATAGCATAATTCCAATATTTAGAATATTGGCTGATACTAAAAATAAAACAAATAGTTAAATGACAACCACTGCTTATTAAGCCATGGCACTGATGGAGCTGGATCCTAGGTCACATTTTTTAGTACAACTTAGTGATTCACAATCACAACGCAGTAAGTATATATGTTAAGTTTAATAATAATAGGAATGCAAATCAGGGTACACTTAGGAGTTAGGACTGGAGACCAAGAGATAACTCAATGTTCCGGTACCTAGAGTTTCTAATTCATAACAAGTGAGGGGGAATGGCAATTTCTACCCTTCTTGGTGGATACCCGCCCCTACCCATCCCAACAAGGCAGGTTTTTTTGCTTGAAGGATGGGCTTTGGGATGGGGGCGGGTCTTGGGATTCTACAACCTGTAATGGGTACAGGTAGGGTACAGTATTAGGCTAAACCAACCCTCCTCGACCCGCATATTGTTGGAAAGCATATGAATTTTATGTATTAGGTGTTGAATTTAATAATATTTTTAATTTTATGTGATGGATAATTGATAGCTTATATGTATTTTACATGTCTTAATCAAATAATTGGAAATTTTGTTGTTTGTTCACATTATTTTACTTATTTATTGCTTACATATAACAAGCAATAATAGAAAATTAGATGTGGGTTCTAAACCCAACCCACCCTATCCTTGAATGTAGGGAGGGTAGGGTCAGGGAGGATTTTGCATTTTCGTGTGCGGGAAGGGTTTGGGTTCTCAAAATCCAACCACTCTTGGTTATGGGGCAGGTATAGATTGGGAGGTTTAGGAAGGCAGGTAAGGTCTAGAATTTACAAAACCCTCCCCGAACCCCCCTGTTGCCATCCCTACAAGGGAGATTGAGGAGGATGTTGCCCATAGAATTGGAGTAGAACAAGCAAAACAGAGGATGCATCTGAAGTCTTTGTGATGGGCAAATACCACTTAGATTAAAAGGAAATTTGTACGAAACAGTTGTAAGGCCAGCAATGCTTTATGGAGCAAAGTTTTGGACAGTCAAGGAATTGCAAATTCAAAAAAGGAATGTGGCAGAGATGTGTATGCTGAGATAGATCATAGATGAGTGGAAAAACTATAAAAATAGGATCAGAAATGAAGTCATACAAAATAACCTAGGAGTAGCTCCAACAGGTGATAAAATGAGAGAAAATAGACTAAGATTGTTTGGTCATGTGCATATAAGACCACCTACAGTACCTCTAAGAATAAGTGATCTGTTATATAAGTTGAAGGGGCTAGAAGGGCTAGGGGCAGACCAAAAAGAACATGGCTTGAAGTAGAAAGAAATGATTTAAGTGCTCATTTTTAACAATGGATATGGCACTAAACAGAACAGAATGACAAGCAGGATTTACGTAGTTGACCCTGTATAGTTGGGAATATAGACTTTCTTACATACATCAAATAATGGTCATAAGAGGACAATGGAATGCTACTTGATCTCAAATATACCAAAATACTTCCTCCACATTGACAAGTTAATAGAACATGAACAGAACTCTAGTATGTACACCTTCAAATGGAAGTATATATTCACCAATGTCATAACCCAGCTAGCAATTTTTGTTTAAATAATTCAACATGAAAATGGAAACTCTCAAAAATCAGTGCCAATACAGATTCAGAAGATACATGAATATGAACAATATATATCATGGTAAAAAGGAACCTATTGAAGTACCTTAATACTGGCAGAATCAGATTTGACCACTTGCCGATTAAGCATCTGCAATGAACAGAATCATCATCTCTAAATTCCAACCAGAGATATTCCTTACATATCAACAGAAAAACAGAACTAAACCGATGCAAACCACCAGAAAGGTTCATATATCTGAAATAATAAATATCACCACTGCAAACAAATATGATGCCAACTCATCTCAAGGACTTGAGATGAAACCAGAAGTACAGGTTAAATAAGTTTGATTAATTTAGCATGGTGAAGGGAAGTCTCTCTAAAACAAGGTGAAGGTAAGTAAGGGTTATGAAGTCTATATGAATTGATGCAGATACAAGTACTGGGACCTGAGGAAGATATGAGGAATCAAACTTTACAAGCCTAAAAAAGCATAGATTAGGGACTTCAGGGATACAAGCAACAGCCCCTGGTTAGGGAACCAAAAATAATAGTAATGAAGATTAAATGTAATAGCAAACTACATCTGCCAGCAAGCAGGTTTCAACAATCAGTACTTGCCCTGGAATTCAAATTCATACTTCTTCTTTTCTTTTTTTTTTTTGGTGTATATTATGATGCATATGGTAAATTCCTAATTTCTAAATGTTAGGACCATACCCAGTCTACCCCTCCCAAGATGCTAGATAGCTAGGACCAACATTGGGTACCGGTAATAGCCTTTTTTTATCAGCAATAAAGATTGACTCATTAATTAAATATATTGGATTAAGTAGAAATCTGATAACCCTAATGTCATCCCCAAGAAATACAACCAGAACTACAAAGAGGCCTAATATGCTGCCTTGGCAGCCTTGCAGCCCCTTGTGCTGATCTTTCCACACCCCTGAAGATATGTTTAAGGGTCCATGGGATATGTCTGTTAAATCTTGCCCAAGAAACTACTTTTGAGTCCTCTTTCACTTCCACTTGTTGAAAACCCAATTGCTTTGCCAACCGAAGCCCCTGCAGTAAAGCCAGTAACTCCGCCTTTGTTGAATTTGTAATGCCAATTGGCCCCGACTATAGAGCCAATATCTTACATTCTGCATTCCTGATTGCTCCACCTATTCCTGCCACCTTTTAGTAATGCATATAGTTTACTCATCACCAAAATTCACAAACAAGCATGTCACATTCCTGAATTAGCAATCAAAAAATTATTTACCACTATTCACCAAAAAAATACCATAAATTAGTTATGGTGAAGCCCGTTCATCTTTCCTTTCTTATCCAGAATATAATTGTCAGTTTCTCAAGCATAATATTTACTTAAGCCAATGCTACATCTATAAGCCACATTTTAGGTGCAACATAACATAATTAGTAGTGTTTCCTTTATAAATATTTTCATTCATATTAGCACAACCTTCTGATCACCAGATGGAACATCCAAATGATAGTGACATCCTCGAGGTTGGAGTTCACCAGCAAACTGAACTTCATTGTTCCTAACAAAAGAAAGAGAGAACAAATAAAAAATGTTCTAGGTTACTCCAAGTAGCTTAACTAATATGAGTGCAACAAAAACCTTGTGAAAGCATGATATAAAATAAAAGAAATATATGCAGGACTACCTTTCATTACAATGTGGGCATTCAAAGGCCATCAGCACAACCTGCAAGCAAAAGAGAAGAAAATAGAAGGGGAAAGAGAAAGGTTTCACAGAATTAGAGGGAGAAATATTTTTTTGAAGATAAATAAAAAATAAAATTCATCAAGGAGAAAAGAGATACAAAAGAATCAGATAGCAATCCAACAGTTTCCATCCAATTGCAGAACAAAGCCATTCCTTGATTCTCTTTGTTCATAAAAACTCTTCTATTTCGCTCTTTCCAAATCTCACAGCAGATAGCAAAAGGTACGCAGCTCCACATAATCTTTGCTTTCTTACAACCAATCATCACTGGTCATTTTTCAAAAAATCTCCTTGGGTGATTGAGGTTCCCATCCCCCCATTTTGAAGAGTCAAAAGAACCATATACAGCATACATGCATGCAGTCAGCCATCAAATGCATAACATATTCAGCATCACTTTCACAAAGGCATCTATTTGCCAAGTTAAAGCCTCTTTTCTTCAAATGGTCTTGAGTAAGAATGCTGTCCATTGCCACCAGCCATGCAAATGCCTCAACTCTAGGAGGAATTGGATTGCCCCATACACCTCTCAAATGATGTCTTTCTACTTGACTCCAAGACAAAATTTTGTAGAAGGATTTGACTGTAAATCTGCCATTTTTACTCCTTTTCCACCATCTTGCATCTGGGTTTTCTGGGTGAATCACCACATCCTGTAATCTGGACAGCAGCCTAACACAATCTTCAACTTCTCTGTTGAGCAAAGGTCATCTGAAATAGGGACACCAGCACACCTCCCCCTGCCTCTACTCAAAACATTGAACTACTGTGATATCCTCCCTGCTAAGCCTATATAATCTTGGGCATATAATATTCCCACACCTAACAACTCATCCTCCCAAAATTTGATGCTCAACCCATCCCCCACCGTCCAAGAGACACAAGAACTAACTGCAGATTGAAACTTCATGATCCCCTTCCAAACACTCACCCCAAAGATGTATTGACCTCCCTCAGATCCCACCCAAGATTCACCACCCCATACTTACAAGCAATAACCCTCCTCCATAAAGCCTCACTTTACCATCCAAACCTCCAAATCCATTTTCTCAATTGTGCTTGATTAAAAGTTCTCATCCTCCTAGTTCCCAAGCCCCATCTTTCTTTGCCCTACACACTGACTCCCATCTTACCAAATGAAACTTCTTTTGGGCAGGTGCCTAGGCGACAAAGCGCCATTGGAGGCTCACCAAGCAGTTCCGTACATTGTCTTATAAAATACTTTTATATTGTTATTTTTTTTAGATTATAATTATAAAATAGACATTATTAAAACAAAAATATTCATTTTTTGTGTTTGCAAACTAATTTCTTTTTATTATTTTCTTATTTGTTAGGGTTTAATCAACACAAACATTACTAACTGCTGTATTGAACCCTCAAAGACTTCAAAATCTGAACCAATAAGTAAGGGAAGAACTCAAAATTTTGTCTAAGCAACACCTTTCTTCTTCCACGTTTTCTTCTTCTTTTCCTATAACAAAAATAGGGGTTCAGGCCCTATATTTTTTGAATTTTCTTTTCTTTCTTCTTTTTCTTCTCATAAATATGTTGATTTCTAGACTTAAACATGAAGTTTATAAGTTTCTTATGAAAATTAAGGAAATATGGTTATGGAACCTAGGGAAGTACCCAAGGATATGTGGTTTTTACTTAAAAAAATCCACCATCTAGGCAACTAGGCGACAAGGTGCCCCCCTGTCGCCTTGGCGCCTTGAAAACTATATCAATTTCTTTGCCATCCAGCTAACTTGTTCTCAAACCTCTAGAACTAGGTATGAAAAGCTCTTCAAAAAAGGATTCCCCCCGAGTGGCAAGCCCAAATAGTTCATCAGTCAATTGCTTACCTCACAACCCAAAGATGCAACTAGACCTCCTCCTCTAGCCTATTTAATCCCACCACGAAACTCTTGCTCCAATTCCCCTTAAGATTAGATACCCTTTCAAATAGGCTTACTAATGCTTTAAGATTCTCCCTCTCTCCCTCGAAAAAAAAAAAGAATTAGTCCATCTACGAATTGCAAGTGAGTAATCACTATCTCCTCCCTCCTAACTCTCCACCCTTTTAACAAGTTACTAGCATCTGCCCTAGAGATCAAACCACTCAACACATCTACAACTAGAATGAAAAGGAAAGGGCACAAAGGATCTTCTTGTCTTAGGCCTCTCTTTGCTAGGAAAAAATCTCTAGCCATTTTTTTATCAACAAAAAATCTCTCTAGCCATGACACCTCTCCCTTTCCTCCCAGCCTTCCCTTGTCAAATTATTTTCCACCTCTAATATATCCAGCCTCGCCATCATACCAAAAACCACCTTCTTTCTCTCATTCACATCTCCAAACACCAATTTACTCCAAAACTTCAGATCCCCCCACAAGAAACTGCAGCTTCTTTCAACAATACAAAGAGCTAGCCAAGGCTTGAAATGATAACTATTCCACTTGACTTCAACAAATTGAAGAAAACTTGGATGTCCTAACCACACATTCTCAAACCTGAATGGTTTAGGACCTTCAAGCCTAACATGCACCCTTAAAAGTACTAGTTTATGACCTGAAACAGGAAAAAACAAAGTTTCTTGTTTCAGATCTGCAGAGAACTTGTCCCATTCCCCATTCATCATGTATTTGTCTAGTCTTCTTAAAATCAGTGGATCTTGCCCATTTGACCAAGTAAACTTCGAGCCCACCAAATCTGGCTATTCCAAATTCCAATTCATCTCTTCGAATAAAGTCCCCAAACCTTCTCATAGCACTTGTCACCCTCCTATCCCTTCCCCTTTCATCGCCCCCCCCCCCCCAAAAAAAAAAAAAACTTCCCATTACGTTAAAATCACCTCCTAGCAACCAAGGCTTCACTCCTGCATCATGAGAACCTTCCGATTCCTCCCACAACTCATCCCTTTCACTATCCAGGTTTGGCCCACATACATTAGATACCATTAGAGAGAGAAATATTTGACCATCAAGAATTTAGTTTATTTACATTTTCAACAACAACAAAAGGCTATAAGCTAAGGTCAGCATGTAATATAAAATTTTCAATAAAATCAGAAAATAGCAAGAAGGGGAAATGCACCTCTCTAAAATGTGGAATGCGCGTCAGTAGTAGTCTTGTTATTCCCTGTGACGAGCAGCAACAATACAAGGTGATTTTCTAGTTAATGTTCATTGGCAACTCAGTTGCAAATAATATATATTACAATCTCAAACAATCAAAATTTTCATCAAGGAGCGATTGATGAACACAACAAAAAAAAATAGAGTAAAAAAAGTAGTAAGAGAAAATAATAACGCGAATGACAAAACTGACGAGATTGATATAAAAAAAAAAAAGTAGCAAAATAAAATTTCTGAAGGACATCTGTTAAAAGCAAAAAAAAAAAGGCACCAACAAGAAGTAAAATATCGAAGCTTTCTAACGAAAACTACCCAAAAAAACAAGCTTTATCTCCTCTAATAATACAAAAACTCTAGGTATTCAATATCTGTAAAGTGAAACATCACACTGAACACCGTGAACGCAATCAAAACCCTAAGCTTATACTTCAAATACATGGAAACGGATCACTAAAGTTTTCGGGGATCTTACATTTTTCCCACAACGCATGCAAAGGCTCTCAATCTGGTGAAGAGGCACCGACACATCGTCCTCCGCAGAAACTGCTTCGGCAGCCGACCTTACATCCACGAATGAGTCTCCCATGTTTAACTTTTTTCCCTTCGAAAAAACCCACAGCAGCGCCCTGACTCAAGTTCGCTGCCTTGGGTTGGTTTTTAAGTTTGAATTCAGAAGATGCAGAGGGAAGTAGCTCGAAACCTCTGGAATCAGCTCTATCTATCTATATTACTACGTATAAAAGAGCAAATGCCCCTTCTTTCTCCAATTTTCATTAGGGTATATATCCTTTACTCTATGAATTGCCCACTTATAACTGTTGAAAATTGTTCGTAAATTATAAATAATTCTGTCTTGTACAAACAAAGGAAGAACAAAGAACTCCAAGCTTCCACTCTTTCCGTCTCACAAACTTTTACAACCCTTCTAACACAAATACGGATGTCAATGGATCGGGTTCAAAACGGAGTGATTCAACCCTAACACTACTTTCTATGCATACACGAGTAGGGAATACCGAGTCTGGATTCAGTGAACCCTTCAGTTCACGAGCAGCGTGAACCCTCCAATAGGAGGTGTGCACGTCGCTCCATTCGGAAGACGATGGAAACGGATCACTAAGGTTGTAAGCATCCACCCTCATTTGTTTAACTTAGTGGTTCAAATACATGGAAACGGATCACTAAGGTTCATTACGTTAAAATCAACTTACAATAAGCATCCACCCTCTTCATTTTCCTTCCAAGCCTATTATTACTCTCTAATCTAAATTCCTTAACTAATTAAACTAACTTAACTTAATTGTGTTTCTTAACAAAATTAACTTATTAATTTAATGTTAAATTCACTAAAATAACTTAATCTAAATTAATTAATTAAAATGAACAATAAATAAAAATTATCTGAGTCGGTTGGGGCAAGGACTTCACTCCCTATCTCCAATCAGGCATTCCTATTAACCCCATCCCCATCCTTGTCCATGTCAAGGTAGTCTCCATCCTCATCCCCATTAGGTCAGGAAGTCCAAGTACCCGACGGGGATAGGGAAAATTCCCATCCCTATTTGAATATGATTTACATAAAGCAAAACCAAAATAACTAATTAATTGAATTAATTAATTACTTAAAAATAGACATGAGGTCTAAACATTCAAATTAATCTAGTTAAGTACATTAAATAATTATTGTATTTATTAAGTTAATTATTTCAATTAAGTATAATTCATTAATTAATTTAACATTTTGTTAAGTAATTAGTGCAATTCTTATATCAATAGATTATTAAATAGAAAGGATAAATAGTGAATTAGTTAACATAAAACATCCCTTTTTTTATTAAATTATGCTAATGCCCTTAATAATTTGTAAAATAATCAGTTATCAAATAGATCAAACATTTAATAATTCATTATATGATTAGATTATTATATAAAATAATTATTAAACATTTGTTTAACTTATAGTAATATGTAAAATGCATAGATTATTATTTATATATTTAATTTGATTAACTTTAATTAACTTAGATTAATGGGTAAATGCAAAAGACCATGAGGTTCATCTGGATCCAACACTAAGTATAACCCATTTTACAATTTGCAGATGATTGCCTTTTTTTTGAATACAACCATCCCCACTTGCATGAAAATAAAGAAAATCCTATCAAATTATGCAAAATCCTTAGTCAAGTGCAAAATTTTCAACAAATCCACAATTAGTTTCTCAAAGAATATTCCTCATAGATTTTTAAAAATGCTCTCAAGAATGCTTAAAATTCCTATGGATGCTGACCCAAAAAATTACTTGGGAGCTCCCATAATCACCAAGAGAGTTACAAAAAACATGTTTGCTTTTATCATAGAAAAATGGCTCAGAATTGGCAAATTGGAAGAAAAATTCTCTCTCCTTAGTTGGTAGACTTGCTCTTGTTTCTGCCACTAACATGTTATGAGGTCTTTCAAGCTTCGCAAAAATGCCATAGATAATCTAGACAAGATTTAGAGGTACTTTCTATGGACCAATAATAATGGAAAAAAAAAAAAAAAAAAAAACTTAGATTTCTTAAATTGGGAGAGAGTTTGCACTCTCAGAAGATGGGGAGGGATGGGAATAAGAAAGCTCCATTGGATCAATGAGGCAAATCTAGCAAAATTAGGCTGGAGGATTTTACATGAAGAGGACAATCTTAGGATCAAGATTATTAAAAGCTATAAAGGACATCTCTTGAGCATGGAGAGGCATTGTCCTTGTAAGAGATTTCATTAGGAAAGGCAATTAATGGCAAGTTAGGAATGGGAGGTCTATTAGCTTCTGGCATGACAAGTGGGTGACCAATAAACCCCTGACAGAAGTTATTAATCACGAGAATATGGAGAATGATTAAACTCTAGTCTTGGATATGATTGACTTTGAGAGAGTGTTGGAATGAGGATAAAATTCGAGTTGAGATCAATAAAACCGATTTTTATTTTGCATAACTTGGAGGACAAAGCTATCTAGGAGTGTAATTCTAATGAGTCCTTTACCATTAAATCACCCTATCTGTTGAAATAATCCTCTATTATTAGGACACAATGATGCTACAAATTGCTTAACAAATGTTTGGAACATCAGATGCCCCCAAGTCATAGCAAGTATCCCTACAAATCATTTCCTGATTAGTGGCATAACAACCACACATTTGTTAGTGCACTATTTATAAACTAACAAAATAATAATTAAAACAATCATTAGAATGATCAAAGCATCATAAATGATAAACCCCAATTACAACAGCCTGCTATCTCTTGCAATCTGCATTGTCGTGAGCGATATTATGTTGTTTTTTCTCTAGGGTATAATTTTTTGCCCACGGGAAGCCATATTCATGTGGCTGGAATAAAAATAAAAAAAAAAAGGTACTATTATTATTCCTTATCTCATGATAAGCATAAATACTCACAAATAAGGTTCTTTGCGTGTTGGGTCCATACCTCACCAATTGGACATTTATAAAACTATCTTCCACATTTTTTTCTATTTTTGCCATAAATAACTTCATACGTCTTCTTCTACATGCACACATGGGTCCTCTTCTAATAGTGGCCATAACTATACAATGAAACATTTGATCATCATACCATAATTAGACAATTAATTCCTAGAAGCTATCTTTATAAAGATACAAATTCATAACAGTTAGTACATTACATATCATAATTAAAACATATACACACTAAATTGTTCAAGAATCCAATAAAAAAATACAATTAAGTAGATTGCCTCCTTATACTTCTTCTTGGATGGGTACGATTAACATGTAAGTTGTAATGATTAACCTTCTTGAATATGATTTCATCCCAAACATGTTCTATCCATTTTGATGCATGCGATTCCACTTCAATGGTTGTCAGTGTTACACCATAGAGCATCCCTCCATCTCCTTCGATGGGAACATCATTTTGGCGGAACCGGTTCCAATACACATCTTGTATTCTTGACATCTGAATGAAATTGTGCATCACACAACAAGCAAACACAATCCTAATTTGCTTGTGAATCGGGTATGGAGGCATCAACTTCAATATCGGGAATCTTGCCTTCAAAACACCAAAACAAGGATATATGACAATCCTCAATGAAGAATGCACATAATTAAAGTACTCACCGGAATTCTTGGGACAACCACCTCTTCCTTGAAAGTCTCTTAAATGGTATCTCTCCAATCGATATGAATCTAAAAATCCAATCATATTAGTATATTGAATAAATAAACCTTACGGAATTATTTGATATTTTTGTTAACCTTCTAGTAGTATAGGGAACATATTGTCAAGGTTTTGGACCACCTCCAAGAAAACCCTTGAATCATGTGTAGGAACCTTCCATCTCGGTTCAACAAAAGTGAACAACATAAATGAACATGCACACATCACATTCTAGGTGGTTGTTGACTTTTGTCGTCTAAATGGTACTTGTTCATTACTGGGAACATAAACATTGACATGTGTACCATTTATTACACCTACACAATTATGCATGAAGAAAAAAATCCAAACGAAGAAATTTTGTTAAGGGTATAATGACGAACAAACCCCACACATAGAATGAGTTACCTCAATGCATGGATAATATTTTAGATTATTAAGAATATATAGTGAAACAACTATAAGGTCACTTGGCCGTACAATTTCTTTTCCAACTTTACAAATGCATTCAAAGCAATGTTAAAGTGTTGTGAAATTGTTTCAGCAGAATGTTGAAAATGGTCTACAGTATCTCAATTTGATTTGCTGTATCCTATGGCCTTTAAAAGAATTCCAATTTATTCATCAGTTAATACATATCGACTATCTTTCACTAGCCCTCACTATCTCAATGAACCTACTAGGCTAACAAGCACCGGTGGTGTCATTCTAAACATATCCACACATCTAATACCAACACTATAGACGGAATTTTTTAAATATTTTGATCCAATCAATATGTCATCATGATAGGGTGTCTTAAGAAATACATTTCTTCTTCTCTCTCTACCTCATTTGCAATGAGGAATATAAGCTAAATTATGAGATAAAAAAATATGGATTGTTTAGTCAAACAACTTGTTGCAAATTGATGACCCCTAAGCCTACACTAATATCCACATGATGACAATCAAACACACAAAACCAATAAAAACCACTCATTTTACTTGACCCATTAAACCAATCACCAACCTGTTTCAAACATAGATTTGAACCTACACCGCCATCCATCTGATGGTTTTAGAAAGAAAGAACACACACACACACACACCCATTCATCTTCAACCCATTAAACCAATCATCAACCCATTTCATGTATAGATTTAAACTTGTAGTACCATCCATCTGATGGTTTTAGAAAGAGAGAAAAAACACACCCATTCTACTTAACCCATTAAACCAGTCATCAACCTACTACAAGTATAGATCTGAACCTACAATACCATCCATTTGATGGTTTTATAAAGAAGGAAAGAAAAAGACAAACTCATTCTACTAAGTCCATCAAAACAATCATGAACTTGTTTCAGGTATAGATCTAAACCTACAATACTATTCATCTCATGGTTTTAGAAAGAGAGAACACACACACACACACACACATACATTCATGGCCATCAATCCATCAAATCAAGAAAAACCTACTACTATTTTAAAAGTGAATTGCAATACCATCCATCTGATGGTTCTAAAAAGAAAGAAGAAAAAACCACACACACATTGCTATCAATCCATCAAACAAACCATTAACCTATATCAAATATAGTATGAGATTGGACCTGTTACACCCATTCATATGATGGTTCAAGAAACAAAGAAAAAATATAGAAAATAAATCAACCCATTTAACCAGTCATTAACTTGTTGTAAATATAAATCAAACCAGCACTACCATTAACATGATTACATTCAACATATTAGAACTAAGTCTAGATAGTAGTTTAACTAGTAACAACTACTTGAAAGTTAAAAAGTCATATGTATTTGTAAGTTTATTAGATAGAATAAATTCAAAGTGTAGTTCAATGGTGAAGGACACCCATCACCCAGTTCTTCCTAAGGTTTGGAGGCATGTTCAGAAACCACTCTCTTG